TCAGATAAAAAGGCAACTCACTTGTTATACCATTATTTATACAGAATTGGTTAGATATCAACCAAAATGTCATCATTACAACAATTAAATTGTGATTGGATTTCAAAGTCACTTGTAATAGTTTTCCCTAGATGTAAACCCAGCCCAAGTAAATAACACATCCTTCCCAAACTGATTAGTTAAGGGTGGAGTAACAACATTAAACATATTCATTATCTGCAGACCATAGGTAAATTGCACATGTTATCTTCCTAAGGTGCAGACAATCCCACCTATTTGATTTATACAATAAATTTCTTACCCTTCCGAGCTTTTGGGCAGCAATTGTCTTTTTGATCTATGGTACCCTTTAATCCACCACGTTTAGGAAGAGTGAGTGAGTTAATATGTAAAGTCACATCGCCAATATTTCAGCCATATCATGACTAAAACAAGTTATAGATTTGTAATTTTTAACGGTCATTTATAAAATCTGTCATCGCAAGACAGTAAAACAACTAGATTATCACAGTTATTAACTTAAAACTGGTAATAACTCTAAAACATTATATATAAATGACAAGACAATATAAAATAAGCTGTAGATTGCCAACAACGGAAGGAAGATCACCATACTAGGCACCATGGGGATCATAGTGTGCAGGATCCACGTGCAAAACGCCAACATCCAACAGCAGGGAAAATGATAATTTTTTATGGTAACATGGCTAGATAATAACAAGATATTCCGTTTCCATCAAAAGCAACTAAATCTGTTTTGTAGAACATAATGAAGCGCAACAAAAGAACACAAATCTATAAGGTAGATCAATATCTCAAATCTCATGGCCATGAAACTGTACGTTTACCGCCTTACCATTGTGTATTTGCCACAAAATGTCCGAGTCCCGTTCTGGGATTCGAACCATGGACCTTCTAATCCGAAGTCGGACGCCTTGTCCACATGACCAAAGAGGTTAACCCCGTCAGCAAGCTGACATGGTAAGGATGTCATCTGTGGGATGACCCCTCGCCCTGCTACAATTGCGATCTCAAACCAATAGATTTTATCTTGGGTAAAATCTGATGTGAGTCGCAACAATACCACGTTCAAACTTGTGGACGTTCAAAACGCAGTAAACAAAGCCATAAATAAAATAACACCAGCAATCTGGCAAAACTGTGTACAGAAAGTTGAAAATGAAGTAGAGAATCAGTACTGGATAAACAAATACTGGTCTGATGTGTTCATTATATTCTGCTTTGAAATGGATGTTTGATGGTGAACCGATTTGGAGTTACATTGTGATTCATCGGTATAATTTTGACCCAAATAGACTCAAATAATGTACTTCTGTTTTTACGGAAACCACATTGGATATCTGATATTAGGGTATGGGTTTCTAAGTACCTAACTGGACGATTATTGATAATGCAATCCATATTTTTGCAAACGCAGCTAGTGAAATTGGTCGATAATTTGACGGATCCGTATGATCACGTCCGGGTTAAGGTATTGGTACTATTATAGCATCACGCCATGGGGAAGGAAATTTCCCTGACGTGCAAATATCATCAAAAATATTTAAAAGAGTCTCTAAACAGGATTCTGGCAAGTGCTTCAGGAGTTGATAATGTATGTTATCAGCTCCTGTAGCAATATCGTGAGCTTGTTCAAGAGCAGTATGGAGTTCGTGAATAGAAAATATTTCATTATAATCTTCTCCATTATCTGACTTGAAATTAATAGTTTTCTTTTCTTGCTGTTTTTGATAGTTTTGGAATTTAGGCACATAATTAGAAGAGGAAGAATGTTTAGCAGGAGTTTCACCCAGTTTATTTGCAACATCTGATTTGATCTGCATGTTTAAGACCGCGGAAATTAGATTTCGTACCCTTACCGGTAATTATCTGTTCGAGAACTTATGTGGGATACATAATTTTTCCAAGATTGGCGTTTACTTTGCTTAAATGTACGCCGTGCTTTAGCATATAAACTTTTATATTTGGGTGGTGAGGAAAATGTTAATGTTCTACCGTTTTCCTTGGCTTCCTAGCTTGCTTGCGATCATTGTTGAAAAATGTTTTTCGAATATGTGGAGGACTGCAGAGGACTTTGGGATACACTCGTCAGCAGTGGTATTCGGTTAATCGGGAAAACAGTTTATAGTATCAGGAACATCAATAAATAAGTCCAGGTTTGTCAACACACGGTGTTTCATATCAAGGCCAGTTAGCCTTGTCAAAATTCTATTTTGATGATGGACGAACATCAGATGGGATGACAGGAAAATGGTCAGTTCTACAAAGGTCGCCGTGGACTGACCATTCAAATCTATTTAGTTAGTAGGAGTCAGTAATTGACATATCAATAGCTGGTTATGACCCTGTGCCAGGGTGTAAATAGATGTTGCATCCACCATTATATACTATCCCAAAAACGAAGCGCATAGGCGTTTTGTGTTTTTACAAAGCTATTAATTACCTTTTGTGTTCAAACAATCGTCAAAATATGCACCAAACGTGTTGATAACATGATTTTACACAATTGCACAAGTAAAAAATCGACTTTACCCGAAAATGTTGATTTTGATGAGATGTCTTACAAGGATTAAAAGGCATCGCCACAACGGAACAGAAATCACCTTCCAGTTGAAATTCTGCAGCAAAGAACATGCACTGTCTGGTTATAAAAATCCAGATTACTTTCGGAAATCGCCATTCATTTTGAAGGAGTTTCAAGGTTAAATCACTACGCCACGTCTTGACGCTGCGACACGGAACATCGCAACTGAAAGAATGCACGCTGGAGATGACCAATCTTCTGTTACCAGGCGTTTGAATGTTAGTCTGAGCACGATATCACGGCTTGCAGCTCGTTACAACCAAACAGGCATAACAAATGACCCTCCTCGTGCAGACATACCTCGAGTCACCACTGCAGCCCAAGATCGGTACATCCGGGTACTACATTTGCGTGGTCGTACTGCGACGGGTGAAAGCACAGCAGCCAGGGTGCCTGGACTTCCGAGGATATCCGGTCAAAGTGTACGGAACAGGTTGAGAGAGATGGACTGAGTGCCAAGAGACCTGACGTCGTCACCATCGCGCTCAACGTCTCCGTTATCTAATATTATGCACTTGGTTGTATAGACAGTTCCTTCTTCTAAACTGATGTAAAAATTCATGTACTAAAGTATATTTGTGGACGAGTTATACATGGTTGAAAATACAACATATTCAGAACAGATTTCTGGCCTATGCATTTCTTTTGGGGATAGTATATTTGCACTATAAAGAAACATCGGCTTTGACCAAATGAAAATATTCTCGCCAATAGGCCAATGTTTTTCGCCAGTGGGCAAGATATTTTAATAACGCTCTAAACTAACCGAATTAAGTCAAAATTATCTCAGTTGTGTGCCATGATACTCGCAGACATAATTTCATCCATTTACAACCTCCAAAACATGAAAAAAAACCATGTATTTTGAGCAAAAGTAAACATTCTCGCCAATGGATCACCGTTCGCCCATTGGCCGGCCAATGGGCGAGGTAGTTTAAATTTTGAGTTTTCGAAAATAATAGTTTTCATTTTTCTATCCTCAGCATATATTCATGATAACTGTATGTTGAATTTAGCCAAATCCTTCGTCAGAAACCGGCCAAAGTGCGACAATTTTCTGGACTTTCGGTGTTTCGGAATTAAATTGTGACTGTCAACTTCAACCCTACCATGTAAATCTTCTCCCCAGGTTCAAAGAAGTGTTCACCGATTACAATAAATAATTCCTCAAAATACACCACACGGAGGAACAGTATTTCCCAAATTGACTTACGTTAGGAAATACTTACGTTTTATCCGGAGGCCATATGAAAAACGTTTGAAATCTACGTTTCATCTGGCTGTCAGATTTGCACACGTTTAAAGGGGTGTTAAAATAAACGAACATTCAACTCAGCAGTTAAATGTATTTTACAGATGTGTAAATGTGGTCATTGTATTCATGCGTTTTCTAGTATGTGTAACAAACGAGAGATTGAGATTGTTTTCGACTCACCAAATACATTTACAAAGTTTAATATACAAGACAAGATAAAATGTAAAGCCACCATAATGATTATGAGAAACGTAAAACTATTTAAAATCTGTATGACAGCACACACCATGAAAATGAAATAAATATATTAAAATATTGAGCATAATGAAAAACCTTTCACACCACAACAACTATTATACTATCGGGTCCATGGATGAACAATCTCTTTTCTTTAGTAATTGCCTTTTCGTCTCCAAAAGAACTTAGCATACTGTGCAAGTGTAATAATAACAAGTAATAAATAACTGTGAGATGGATATTATTGATACTTTGCATCCGAGCGTGTGGGCGGTACTTTGTTTCGTTTCTATACGCAAACTAGAGTAGATTTTAGCTTTGTTTTAACTAAACTTCGGCATCTTCCAATCAGGTGAAGATCTATCATGTCGACTATTTGAACTTGACAATAAAGTTATGATGTCAGTTTTAACCTCATGAAGTTGCGGGGCGGTGGGATAGCCTAGTGGTTAAAGCGTTGGCTCGTCACGCCATAGACCCGGGTTCGAATCCCACATGGGTCCAACGTGTGAAGCCCATTTCTGGTGTCCGCCGCCGTGATGTTGCTGGAATATTGCTAAAAGCGGCGTAAAACCAAACTCAGTCAGTCAGTCAGTCATGAAGCTGCTTGCAACAAAGTTTGAACCAGAGTTATATGTATGTTAGGGAGCATGTGTGCGCGCGCGCGCGCGCGTGTGTGTGTGTGTGCGCGCGTGAGTACGGGTACATTTTGAATAACATACTTTCTGTACACAGTTTATATATGACATACAAGGCAGACGGAAGGATGTCTACAGGGCTGAAAAATAATTAAAACCCTCAAAATAAAATACAGCGTGCATGGCCATGTTTTGATGTACAGAAGAAGTAAAGTTGGAATTAAACTAACATCTCTAATCTAATCCACTGTTTTCGTTGTTTCAGACAGAACAAGCTGACGTTCCTGGCTACCGTTGGAGCGGTTCTGACGTGTGTCTATATACTACACGTCACTCTACAAAGTGATAGCCTTTATGTACCTGGCCTGTTTTCCAGTTTGAGTCAACGGTCTACACAAGGATTCCAAAATGGTCAACAGAAAGTGAACAAAGCTGTTCCCAAGACAGAACAGAAAGTGAACAAGACTGTTCCCAAGACAGAACAGAAAGTGAACAAGACTGTTCCCAAGACAATCCTTTGGTACTTTACTCCAAGATATTTACCCACAAACCTGACTGGCCGAGTTCCTCTAACTGCTTGCCCTGAATCCCAATGTTTCCAGACTCGGAATAGATCATTTCTGCAAAGCAGTGATGCAGTGATATTTAACTCCCAGTACATAAAGGGAGCCCTTCCACCTAGAAAACCAGGTCAAGTGTGGATTTTCCACAACAACGAGGCACCTTATCTTAATGCGTATGACAGAGATTATTACAAACAGCCATGGTCATCCGCGTTCAACTGGACAATGAGTTTCCGGCATGATACTGACATATTCAGGCCATATGCATTGCTGAAGAAGAGAGTCACAGTACCCGTCAAGAACTACACGGCCATTGTCAAGAAGAAGACGAAATTGGTAGCATGGATGGTCAGTAATTGCCTTGACTGGAGCAAAAGATTAGCGTATGGGAAGGAACTGCAAAAACACATACCAGTGGATATATATGGTCTCTGTGGAAAAATGACATTTCGCAGAGAAAAAAATAATGATTGGCTAAAATACCTAAACGAAACCTACAAATTTTACCTGGGATTTGAGAACAATTATTGTAAGGATTATATAACTGAGAAGTTTTTCAATAACTTCAACCTTGACCTTGTAACTGTTGTTCGCGGTGGTGGTAACTACAGCCGAGATGCACCACCTGGAACATACATCAACGTCGATGACTTCAAGTCCCCAAAGCATCTGGCTGAACATTTATGGTTCCTACACAACAATACTGATGAGTATGTCGAAATCCTTAAACGCAAAGAGGGATATTATTATCAAGCCGAAGAGTATCTCTATATGGACCCAGGAGGGCACCCATTCGCTGAACACTACTATGAACAGGAGGCTTTATGTGAAATTTGTAGAAGGCTGAACAACATTGAAAATCACTCGAAAACAATAGCGGACATTGTACCATGGTGGAAAAGTGGCCTTTGTAAAAATCCTACGAAACTCCTTTAAGTCAGTGTTCGACTGGAGTACATGTGTGACCGTATACAATCACAGTGAAAAAAACCATGTTAATCCGGACGAGAGCCCATTATTATCATCGGATTTACGAATGTCCGGATTAAGGAAGTATTGAGAAGATATGCCCTCAGCATTTTAAGAAGATAACCTACGATCTACGAGTACAAATGCACTATAACATATTTTGTTCCAAAAGTGGAACCGGATTGGTACACAAGCAGTATATTGTTTATCTAAATACCACTCCGAAAAACAATAATGTGAGTATAAGGTGTCGAGACAGGGCATCTACAGGTGTCGAGACAGGGCATCTACATGTGTCGAGACAGGGCATCTACAGGTGTCGAGACAGGGCATCTACCAACGTGGAGATTCGCTGGCCGATTGCATTTAATGTTGGCTTCCTGTATATGCTGGATTGTGTTCTCAGTTTTAACCTTCTACAGTTTGTCGGGTGAAGCACTGCGCAAAGTGAGAGACTAGACGGAATAACCGCCTCAGTTTTAACCTTCTACAGTTTGTCGGGTGAAGCACTGCGCAAAGTGAGAGACTAGACGGAATAACCGCCTCAGTGTTAACAGTAGCTGTTGGCTGGTGTGGTGGATATTTCTCAAATTGTCCACAAGTCCGTCAAGTTGTATTGTCAGCTCTTCACTAAGAGCTCAGTGCTCAGCTTTAACTTCCCAGACAAACAGCTACCAGATGTAAAATGTGTAAATGAAAACTCATTAACTGACAGTATTTTGACGCGAAATGAAGTTAAAGATATTATTTTCTCAGTTGACATAAACAAAGCAAGTGGCCCTGACAAAATAAGCAATACGTTTATCAAGCTAACCGCAGGATCACTTTCTTTGCCCCTCACCTATTTATTCATGTCACAATTACAGGCCCGTTGCACTTACGAGCTGTATTGGAAAGATATTTGAAAAATGCGCATTCAAATATGTTTTTAACTTTTTTGGGAACAATACTGTCTTAACAAATTTGCAATCAGGATTTATGCCAGGAGATTGTACTGCTTATCAACTCACATATCTATATGACTTTATAGCAAATGCTTTAGAATAGAGGTATAGGCCGGTTTCTGTTATATTAGTAAAGCTTTTAACAAAGTATGGCACAAAGGTACATTGTTTAAATTAGAGGTTTACGTGGTAGCTTTATTAAATATTTTCGCAGTGATCTTAGATATAGAGTACAAAGAGTAGTTATAGATGGCTGGTCATCAGATTTAAAACATACATCGACAGGGGTTCCCCAGGGATCAGTCTTAGGGCCACTACTGTTCTTAGTATACATCAATGATATTGTCGATGGCATCAACAGCAATATTCGTCTATTTGCTGATGACACATCAGTGTATATAGCTGTAGGAGACCCAGACAAAGCTGCAAGAATTTGGAATAATGACTTAAATGGTATTTCTAATTGAGCCGATATGTGGCAAGTAAATTTTAATCCAACAAAAACTGAAACGATTTTATTCTCCCGCTAAGTAAATCCCTATGTATGTTCACCCATAGAAATGAAAGGAACTGAAGTACATTTCAATAAACATTTAGGTGTTTATCTTCAAAAAGATTGTTATTGGGGGAAAAAAAGAGGAAATATTAAAGGTTGTAAGTCCGATGGTAAACTGTTTAAGAAGCTTGAAATATAGATTAACTAGACATTATTAGAATGTATGTATACCTATTATGTACTTCCACACTTTGATTATTGTTGTCACTTATGGGACAACTGTACGAAAGAACAGTCTATGATTCTAGAAAATTTACAATTAGACGCTCTAAGAACGATTTGTGGAGCCGTGAGAGGAACTAGTCAAGAAAAAATCTACAAGGAGACCAATTTCATACCATTAGTTAAGCGAAGAGAAATGAAGAAACTTACTTTATTCTACAAACTGAAAAATAACCTTACTCCAAACTACTTATCTGATTTAATTCCAGAACATCTCTCAGTTTTAAATTCTTACAGTTTGAGAAATACTGATAGTATTCACACAATTCGTTGCCTCACAGACTCGTATGCACGCTCCTTTTTACCAGACACCATACGTTTATGGAACAATTTACCAACCGAAATAATTAACTCGCAATCAGTAAATTCGTTCAAAACACGATTACAGACCAAACAAGGAAATATTCTCTTTAATAAAAACTTTGGATCTAGATGTTGTCAAATAATCTATGCTCGCCTCAAATTGGGTTGTAGTGACTTGAACGCACATTTCAAATAATCCGAATTGTGCATGTGGGTATCCATGGGAAGATTCTCTCCATTACTTCTTTTCTTGCCCTTGTTTTGACTTAATAAGATCAGATAAATATTTCTACACTAATGGTTTTGACTTAAATTCAATTCTCCATGGTAATCAAACTTCAAGCAATATCATATATCAGCTTATTGTTGACTCTGTTCATAAATACATACTACTTTCAAATAGATTCAAATTGTTCTAAACTCTTATGTATGCAGTTACTATGAGCCATTTAATGTAAGTTTGTAATATTTTTCCTGTTATTATGCATTTAATGCCTTTGTGGAAATACTTGCTTCTGTACTTTGTTTGAAATTAATTATTGATTGCATTATGTTATATTTTATGTAACGGTACTCACATAAGCCATTGGTTTGTTGTGCCAATCCATATTTATGTCATATTTATGTTTCATGAATAAAATATGCTTATAACATATGGTGCTTTCACCTTGTTGATAGGCATTTAGCTGAAAACCCCTCCTGACCTTGTGGCCATTCCAGAGAGGTCCCATTACTTTATATGTGTGTGTGTGTGTGTGTGTGACCTCATTTTAATCAATTAAGACAAAACAAATATTTCTTCGTCAAAGGATTTGATATCAAAACTAATGTCTACAGTGACAGCTGACTGAATGATACTGAAAGTGATAACCTAGCAACATCAGTCCATAATTATATTCAAGAAACAAACCGATTCACTAATATATAAAATCTAACGACATATATATATTTCACTATTCTATTACGACTGTACTGTTATTATTAGATTTAAGGAAACTAGTTCCAAGAAACTTCACTTGGAATAGGAAATTTTGCCTGTTTGCCAATGTCGAAAAACCCTATTACATGAAAATGTATACAAATATGTCATCAAAGGATATACATATTGATTCAACCACATACTAGTGGTACACCTTATTGTATCTTTATCAGTGACTTGGTTTATTGGATTGTGTATATATTCATGATGCAACGTTCATATGTGCATATGGGGGGGCCCAATTCCTGGAATTGCCCGTTCCCTGGGTTGGGGCAAGAGTGTTGCCCGTGAATGGCCGGTGGCTTGCTCAATCTCGCTGATTGGCAAGCTACTCCCAGGAGTGAGCAGGGTTAACAACTGGATGATTGGATGATAACACACACATGCTGATTGACTAAATTGTTATGCTTTGCTTGGTTTGTTTATTTTGCTATGTATTTGACATTAGCTTTACAATAACTGCAGACCATGGTGCAAGAAGCAATGTTTGACAGTTTGGTGAAAACAAACACCTTCTCAGTTATTTTCAACGAAGGCTATGACAAAATAATAGAAGTAATTTGAGCGGTGTCAGCAAAACATTCTGAAATGGATGATGTGAAAAGAAGTGACTCAACACACCACCAGTGGATACAGTGTTTCTTTGTATTGGATTTGATTGGATAACCGATTACATCTCAATTAGGTCACATTCTGACGTAACTATTTTCACATTTATAACAAACAGGTGAATTCATTCATTCTACAACTTAAATACATTGTGGGAATGTAAACATTGCGAACGTTGCCGTGTCGCTGTTTAAATGTGAATCGAACTGAGACATTATATCCGTCGAAAAACATAAACGCAATGTTTCCACCAGTGATGTTAGCCGAATGAAGCAACTGGAAACCAAGAAACGAGGTGCTACGGAGTAGTTTACTGTATGAGGCTGTACGAGGCGATGACAACTGACATGTATCGTGACGTCGGTTACCAAGGTAGTGACGTCATTACAGTGTGACGTCATGCAAATACTGTACTACAGTAGAAAACTCTTCCTGAACCTCTTTATGAAACCGGTTTCGGTTTGAAACCAAAAACAACAAAAATACGCTATTTTGTCAATTTAATGCATGTAAGACGTGGGTAATAAATAAAATACCACACTCGGTCTCATTACATACGAATTATACGAAACACGTGACCTTCCTATGTTATCTGACCTCGCGTTCGCTCGGTCAGATACCATAGGAAGGACACTCGTTTCGTATAATTCGTATGTAATGAGACCTCGTGTAGTATTCTCTATTCAGTCAACCCTGCCATGCCAACAAGAGTGATATGCTAGAGTCTATACCAAGGAAATTTTATGCGCTAGTTTATGTTTTTTACGAGATTGAGTAAACTCAATCAAACTCAGTAGAGTTTGACATTGATTCAAATGTTTTGTTTATCAACGGTTGTGGTGTATTATGATCATATAACTTCAATGTAATTTACTTTAATAGCATTTATTTATATGTTTTCATTACCAAAGACTGTGGCATTCTCAGTGTTAGAAACTCAACTAACGTCAAGCTCTCGAATTAACGGGCTAGTCCTTTTGCGCAAAGGGTATACGCCTGTTGTCGTTTTAATTAATCCATCGTTTGCTGTATGACTAATGGGCGTAGGACTAATGGGCGTAGGACTAATGGGACATGATCGCTACAACACGTGCGATTGTAATGGGCACTGTAACAGCAAACGTTGCATGTGCTACAAAGATGTAAATAAATGCTCTAGATCATTTTTTTTTCAAAGTACAGATCACATGTCACATGTAAGCAATAGGATAGATTGACAACTGCATGCTTTTAACACTTTCAAGAGAAGATGTATACATATAAAGATGCTAATATCAGAGTCTATACAGATATGGAAATAAATGTATATTGGTCTACAGTCTTTGCTTACATTCCATGTTAAATCTGGAGTTTTTCCGAAGCAAGTAATATATTATGAGGCAAATAAATGTGTAGCGATGACCAAAGGTTTTGGTTAGCTGTTACTCTTTCCCATATTTTTAGTATTTTATATCTTTCTAATTCGGCCTCCCATTTAAAATTCCTTAATACTCAGGGGTTTTTTTGTTTGTTTTTTTGTTGTTTGGGGTTTTTTTGGGTAGTAAGACCACACTTTCAAACTTTCTGTTGTTTGTTCCCCTTCATTTTTTAATAAGTGTACTACCCTGTCGCCGAAATACCTTAGTTGTGCGTGCGACGCTAAATATAACAAATAACTAACTATCTAGCCATTGGATCTTCGAAATACCAAGTGTAAAAAAAGTAGTTGTTATAATTTCACTTTTAATGTTGGATCTTTTAATTACCTCAATGTTTTGATATGTCACAATGTATCAAGATACTGTTTTGTTAGAATAACCATTAATTTTAGCTTTAAAAAAAATATATTTGAACTTTTAACTTACTAAATGTTTGGATGTGTTACATTGTATCAAGATGCTGTTTTGTCAGGCTAAACATTAGTCATGATGTCTCTCGTTTGGATTATCTTTTAATCCCTGCCCATTCCGTTGGATTGTGCAAATTGAATCATGAACTGTCCCGTTCTCGGGGGTATACGGGCAATTCCCCATCAGGACAATTCCCCACGTTATATTCCCCATCTTGACATTTCCCCACACCTGTTTTGTAACCAGTAGGGCAATTCCCCACACCCATCACAAATAATGAACAAACACAAGCTGAGATTGTATATATACTACTGTGTTAAGACGTTTTCTAGTCTAGCGCTTAGTACACATACAGACAGATTTTTTATTTAAGTCTCACCTCGATACATATCAATATTGGATATATACATTAATAAAATATACAGGTAAAATATATCGAGCCACCCATCATGGGGTTATGAGAGACTACATTGCAGATAAAAAAAACTTAGGCAAAAATAAAACGTTTACAAATAAGTTTAAAATGGAATGGTTAAGAGATTAAAACATTGAACCTTTTATATAAAATCCTCAGGTGTACAAGAGAGTGGAACGCTTGG